TGTATCCAATATATCAAGGTTCTGTTGCACGATTTGAAAATGATTGTGTTAAATGAGCTTTACATATATGTGAATAAATTAAATTTCCATACATATTATTATGTACTTTATAGTGCATCACATTAAATGTTTTATTGTTATTAAGTTTGAGTATCATGAAATAGTGTACTGGTGTTGTGTATTTATCAATCTTATTGTATTTATGCATTTTGGTAGTATAATTATCGGCAAATTATCGGCCATTTCTAAGTATCGGAGTATCGGTGTCGGCCAGCAAATTATTATCGGTTACATCTTAATCACAGGAGTAATATATAGACCTCCCAATCTTGATAGAGTCAATGAGCGACTTATCTGGGATGAAATGCGCAGGGCTTCCATACACAACAAAGTCTGTATAGTAGGCGACTTTAACCTTGGCCAAATAGATTGGACTGACCTTACGGGTAACTCAGAATCAGAGGATTTTCTCGAGACGATCCAGGACTGTTTCCAAAGTCAACATATAACCGAACCCACACGGGGTAATAATATACTTGATTTAGTTCTGTCGAACAGAGAAAACCTCATTAGCAATGTCGAGGTAGGGAACGAACTTGCAAACAGTGATCACAAAGAAATTAGATTCCAGTTAGATTTTCAGGGCAGACGTAAGGAAAATTACACTAAAGTACCAGATTTCAGAAGGGCAAACTTTGACAGTTTAAAGAGGCAGCTGAAAGAGGGGGTGTCGCGCTTGGCCGTGAACCTGACAGATGACTCGGACCTGATAACGACATCTGAGACTGCCGAGTTCCACGTCAATTTAAATAATGAGTTACTTAATGCACAGAGGCAGAACATACCATACAAAAAACTCAGATCAGACAACAATGACCCTAAATGGATAAATAATTATTTAAAGAACATCATTGGCCAAAGGAAGGCTATAGGTAGAAGGATAAAGCATGGCGAAATTTACCTCCAGGATTATTATAAGATATTGACGAGTAGGGTTAAAACCGAGATAAGGAAAGCCAAGAGGAATAATGAGGTAAGGATAGCAAGGGAGGCGAAGACAAACCCTAAAGGATTCTACCAAATGTATCAAACTAAAACACGAGAAAAGATTGGACCAATACGGTCAGATACCGGCGAGCTCACTGATAACGACGGAGAAATGAGTAATAATTTGAATAAATATTTTTCAACAGTTTTCACCACCGAAAATTTAAACATGATACCCGAGGCACAGACTCTATTCAGAGATAGTGAAGAAAACAAACTAAGCGAGATAGTAGTGACTAGTGACGATGTTAGTAAGCAAATAGACAAATTAAAGCCTTATTAGTCACCTGGTCCCGATGAGATATTTGCCAGAGTATTAAAGGAAAGTAAGGAAGAGCTTAGTATGCCCTTAGCTAAGTTGTTTAACATGTCCTTAAAAACAGGTGTAGTACCAGAATCCTGGAGGATAGCGAATGTAATACCGATTTTCAAGAAGGGGGATAGATCACTATCCTCTAACTATCACCCAATCAGTCTAACATCAATAGTAGGCAAATTACTGGAAGCAATCATTTCAAACTCTATTCGAAATCACCTGGAGAAGCACAGATTGATCAATGATTCCCAGCATGGCTTCACAAGCGGACGTTCTTGTCTAACTAATCTATTAACATTCTTTTCATCAGTTTTCGAATCGGTGGACGAGGGGCACAATTATGATGTGGTATATCTCGACTTTAGCAAAGCCTTCGACAGAGTCCCCCACGAAAGACTAATTAGAAAGGTAGAAGCTCATGGCATCAAAGGTAACACCCTTAAATGGATTAGGGCGTGGTTACAGGACAGGAAACAGCGAGTGAGCATTAACGGCACTAAGTCCCATTGGAGCAACGTCACAAGTAGAGTTCCCCAAGGCTCAGTACTTGGACCATTATTATTTATTATATACATAAACGACATAGATATCGGCATAGACAGCAACATAAGTAAATTTGCTGATGACACTAAAATAGGACGTGTTATTAAATCTGACGAGGACTCAGCAAAACTACAGGAAGATCTAAACAAATTTTTCGAATGGTCTGAAAACTGGCAGATGAAATTCAACGTGGACAAATGTAAAGTACTCGGTATAGGAGATGTAAACAGGGAAACCAGATACCAGATGAACAACAATGCCATAGAGAAATCCGACTGCGAGAGAGATTTAGGAGTAATGATAAGTAGGAACCTTAAGCCAAGTAAACAATGTGTTTTTGCTCGTAACAAGGCTAATAAAGTACTTGGGTTCATACAAAGGAGTGTTAGTTACAAGACTAGCGAGGTCATCCTAAAACTGTATCTTGCTCTTGTGAGACCACACCTGGATTACGCAGTTCAGTTCTGGTCACCGTATTACAGAATGGATATAGAATCATTGGAAAGATTTCAGAGGAGAATGACAAGACTAATCCCGGGCATTAGGAACCTTGAGTATAGAGACAGGTTAAAGCACCTTAATTTGCACTCCCTCGAGAGACGTAGAGCGAGGGGCGACCTGATAGAGGTGTATAAGTGGAAGTCAGGGCTAAACAAAGGGGACATTACAAAGGTACTCAAACTATCCAACCAGGAGCGAACTCGTAACAATGGTTTTAAATTAGACAAATTTAGATTTAGGCGTGAAATAGGTAAACACTGGTTTGGAAACGGAGTTGTGGATGAATGGAACAAGTTGCCAAATATCATCATTAACTCGAATACGCTGAATTGCTTCAAACATAGGTTGGATGCTTATATGAGCAATAAGGGTTGGGTGTAAACGGGACTGCCCAGTGTGGGCCAATAGGCCCGCTGCAGTTTCCTCCATTCTTATGTTCTTATGTTCTTATGTTTAAGTCCGAATGGGCCTCAGCCCTTATGTTCTTATGTTCATCAGTCCTAATGTTCCTCAGTTTTAATGACCCTCAGTCCTAATGATCATCACTCCTAATGACCTCAGTCCTAATGGGCTCAGTCATTGTGAGGTTAACGACCATCAATAATAATAATAATAATAATGATAATAATAATAATAATAATTAACGGTTTATTAAGATAAAATGGCAGCCAGAAGGCTGAAAATATACTGATAATGTATACAGCCTTAACAACATCAACCTAGAGAAGTCGACTTGTGAAAGAGACCTAGGGGTACTTGTAAGCCCGGACCTACGGCCTAGAAAACAGTTCGTTAATGTTCGAAATAAGGCAAACAGAGTATTGGGTTTTATATATAGAAGTGTAAGTAACAAGAGTGCAGAGGTCTTATTGCAATTATATCTTGCGCTAGTCAGGCCGCACCTCGATTATGCGGTTCAGTTCTGGTGCCCCTATTATAGAATGGATATAAATTCACTAGAGTCGGTGCAGCGAAGAATGACAAAAATGATTCCGGGACTTAGAAACCTTCCATACCAGGATAGGTTAAAGAAACTTAACTTGCATTCCCTAGAAAGACGAAGAGCGGGGAGATATGATAGAAGTTTTAAGTGGGTGAAAGGACTCAATAAAGGGATATAGATAAAGTTCTATATAAGCAGGATAGGACTCGGAGCAATTCAAGTTAAGTTTTTTAGGAGAGATAGGAAACTGGTTCACAAATAAAAGGGTGGACGAGTGGAACAAGCTTAGCAACTTTGTAGTAAGTGCGGGAACTCTGGAAAGTTTCAAAAGGAGGCTAGATAGATTCATGGATGATAGAGAGTGGTAGTAACTCTCGACAGGAGCTGCCATGCACAGGCCAACCGGCCTATTGCAGACTCCTTATTTTCTTATGTTCTTATATGGTGCAATCGGGGTGTGGATCACTTGATTGACAAAAGCTTTCAATACAATACATAAGAAACATAGACTCAACATATAGATTAACTATAGATCTGGTACTGTGGGAGCTGGTCTGTAGACATTCTTATGACTTCACTGGATGGCCATTGCGTTGTACCTGGGTGCTAATCCGTTACCTCACTGCAGCTGCAGATTCACGTGGTTCCGGTAGGTCCTTCAGCTCACATAGGGTGTTGGAGATGGTTTTTGTTGTGTGATATAGATTGGAATTCATAGTTATTCGCCTGGGTGGAGTAGGGAGTCCTCATTTCTCTCCTGGAGCAGCTTGAGTCTTTCTTGGCTTCTCATCAAGTGTTGGTGGTGGTCAGTGTACCGCGGACAGGGTGTGTTAGGTCCCCGTCAGGTCAACATTGACCGCTTAGCACTGCTTGTCACTCACAGTTGTTTCTTCCTTTCGAGTTGAAATTGTCACTTTTGGATATCACTTGTGGATTGAACGTCAATCTTTGCACTGTACTGTATGTGGGAGGATGTTGATAAATCCAGATGGGGAGGAGGAGATGGGGAAAGGGAAGGGCTTGACAAACCAGGCTGGCAGCTGTCTACATGGTCAAGAGACCACGGGCAGCGCCGACGTCCTCACCCTGTGAAGGCTCGAGACAACCTCACCGATGTTAAGTAAGGACAAACAAAATGAACTCAATTCTTAAGTAACTAAAATAACCTGACAAATTATATGAGGCAAAGAAAGTAATTATATAATTAACCTGGTGATTATAATTAAATGTGTAACTTTATTTACGGAAACATAATTGCTAACTCACCCAGAGTCTGATAACATGTAATATAAATCACCCAACTTGGAATTGTTAAAACATGTGTACTTATTAATCTTATTGACGTGGTCTCGTGAGGAGGTCGGGCAGCAGTGTGGTTTAGTTCTGTATGTCCGCTTCAAACCTTGAAAATCCCCAAAACCAATATATTTTCCGGGGTCAAAGGTCAAAGTTCAAGATTATGTATAACACTGAAGTAGGAAACATACAGAGGGACAAATGGCGTTGGCACCTATCTCAAGTGTAGGATGGTTTATTATTATTATTATTATTATTATTATTATTATTATTTTTATTATTATTATTATTATTATCATCACTATTACATTACTATTACTATTATTACTATTATTATTATTATTATTATTATAGGGTGAAGGAGGAGCGACGAAAGAGGGTCTTATACACAAATGTACTTAACTGAACGTGTGGCCTGAACCAGGGAACGGGACACAAGTATCGGCTAGGACCACATATTAAGAAGCCCAGGTGAACGTTCAGGTGAACTAAAACAAACTCCAGTACAAAAGAGTCATTTTAACCCATTGAGCCATTATTGACAGGTAAGATAATTTTGTACCTGGCTTAGTTAGGTTAGGTTACGTTACGTTACGTTACGTTAGAGTAGGTTAAGTTAGGTTAGGTCCAGTTTTTACATCACTTCAGCCACTGTATATATTTACTGAGTAGTTCTATCGTAAGGAAAATAACATCAAGTGTAGTGTGTATATGAAAAAATACAAATAAAAATGAGAAAATTCATCAAAACAAAATAAGGGAGAGTATTTTTTTTATCTAGTCATCTGTTCCAACAATTGAGGTGTTTCAACCTATCGACAAACTCACTTCTCAGATGAAAGATTTACAAAAGTGATCGAAAAAGAATGCCCAGGCTTCTTATGGTTAAAATCTGGGCAAACTTTTTCGATAGCCCTGTGTGACCAACTGGAAGAAAGAGTAACAGCAACTTCCCTACGTTGGTTGATATCAGTGAGGTGAATGTGAATTACTGTCCTACAAGAGATGATAATTTTAAAGCTAACCTAACCTAACATAACAAAATTTAATTTAACATAACATAACCTACTATTACCTAAAATAACCTATTCTAACGTAACGTAACCTAACGTAACGTGACGTAACCTAACATAACATAACCTAACATACGTTTACCTAACCGACGTAACATAATCCAACAATGTAACCTAACTTAACCCAAGCTAAACTTAGCAATCTAGCCTAACTCACCTAACATTAACCTAAGCTACTTTACCTTAAACCAACCTAACCTAACCTAACCATGAGGATTGTGGCATATGGGAACTTGAACTTATAAGGACTGGGGCCTATTAGAATTTGAAATCCTGATAAATGGAACCCAACAAGACTAGGCGTCAATATTACTTGGGGTCTATCAGGATTGGGGTCTACTAGAAGTGGGGTCTATATTCGGCCTGTGGTGTATTAAAGATGGTTCTAATAGGACTGATCTTCATTAGAAGTGAGGTGAATTAGGACTGGGGTCTATTACGAGTGGGGTCTATTAGGACTGAGGTGAGTGAGCATTAACGGCACTAAGTCCCATTGGAGCAACGTCACAAGTGGAGTTCCCCAAGGCTCAGTACTTGGACCATTATTATTTATTTTATACATAAACGACATAGATATCGGCATAGACAGCAACATAAGTAAATTTGCTGATGACACTAAAATTGGACGTGTAATTAAATCTGACGAGGACTCCGCAAAACTACAGGAAGATCTAAACAAATTTTTCGAATGGTCTGAAAAATGGCAGATGAAATTCAACGTGGACAAATGTAAAGTACTCAGTATAGGAGATGTAAACAGGGAAACCAGATACCAGATGAACAACGATGCCATAGAGAAATCCGACTGCGAGAGAGATTTAGGAGTAATGATAAGTAGGAACCTAAAGCCAAGTAAACAATGTGTTTTTGCTCGTAACAAGGCTAATAAAGTACTTGGGTTCATACAAAGGAGTGTTAGTTACAAGACTAGCGAGGTCATCCTAAAACTGTATCTTGCTCTTGTGAGACCACACCTGGATTACGCAGTTCAGTTCTGGTCACCGTATTACAGAATGGGTATAGAATCATTGGAAAGAATTCAGAGGAGAATGACAAGACTAATCCCGGGCATTAGGAACCTTGAGTATAGAGACAGGTTAAAGCACCTTAATTTGCACTCCCTCGAGAGACGTAGAGCGAGGGGCGACCTGATAGAGGTGTATAAGTGGAAGTCAGGGCTAAACAAAAGGGACATTACAAAGGTACTCAAACTATCCAACCAGGAGCGAACTCGTAACAATGGTTTAAAATTAGACAAATTTAGATTTAGGCGTGAAATAGGTAAACACTGGTTTGGAAACAGAGTTGTGGATGAATGGAACAAGTTACCAAATATCATCATTAACTCGAATACGCTGAATAGCTTCAAACATAGGTTGGATGCTTATATGAGCAATAGGGGTTGGGTGTAAACGGGACTGCCCAGTATGGGCCAATAGGCCCGCTGCAGTTTCCTCCATTCTTATGTTCTTATTACGAGTGGGGTCTATTAGGACTGGGGTCTATTACGAGTGGGGTTTATTAGGACTGGGGTCTATTACGAGTGGGGTCTATTAGGACTGGGGTCTATTACGAGTGGGGTTTATTAGGACTGGGATCTATTACGAGTGGGGTTTATTAGGACTGGGGTCTATTACGAGTGGGGTCTATTAGGACTGGGGTCTATTACGAGTGGGGTTTATTAGGACTGGGATCTATTACGAGTGGGGTTTAGTAGGACTGGGGTCTATTACGAGTGGGGTTTAGTAGGACTGGGGTCTATTACGAGTGGGGTCTGGTCCGTGGCCGCCAGAGAGGAGTCATGCATTGTACACGGTCAATGCACCCGAGTGTTGCTGAATGGACATGGAATATAACGTTGTGTCCGGCATCTGGCAGGTGTGGGGATGTGTAGTGAAGGTGTGGGGTTGTGTAGAGCAGGTGTGGGGTTGTGTTGTGCAGGTGTGTGGTTGTGTAGTGCAGGTGTGGGGTTGTGTAGAGCAGGTATGGGGTTGTGTTGTGCAGGTGTGTGGTTGTGTAGTGCAGGTGTGGGGTTGTGTAGTGCAGGTGTGAGTTTGTGTAGTGCAGGTGTGGGGTTGGGTTGGGTAGTGAAGGTGTGTGGTCGTGTAGAGCAGGTGTGGGTTTGTGTAGTGCAGGTGTGTTTATGTGTAGTGCAGGTGTGTTTATGTGTAGTGCAGGTGTGTTTTTGTGTACAACAGCTAGCATGAGAGTTGTTTTGTAGAGCAGTTGTGTTGTTGTGCTGAGCAGGTGTGTAGTTGTGTATAGGCTGCAGGTCAAATAGCCTCCATTGTTAGTAGGCCCCGACGTAACTTAACCTACCCTGGACTAGCCTTCACTAACCTAACCTAACCCATTCCACTCTAATCTAACCTAAAGCTTAGCGCACCCTAACCTAACCCAACCTAAACCCAACGTAAAGCCAACCTAACTTAACCTTCACTAAGTTAGGTTATTCTAGAAAGAACAGACATGGCCGAGCCTTACGAGTGTTGTAGGTCTCTTGATATAATCTGTAAATGATCATAGACGATACAGCCGTGTTACTGAACCCTGTAGGCCGGAGACAGGACCTCTCTCCCAGGACCTACAGCGAGGGGCGGTAGGGAGCGACAATCTGCTTATCACTTGTGGATTGTGTCACGACCGTGTTCCCTGATCATCCATATTTTTAAGAACAATCGGTACTAAATCGGATGTTTTAGTTGAACCTCTTATTTACCCGAGGTTAGCTAACCCAGGCCCTCCTCGACAAGGCCCACAGATGGAGCCAAGTGGCCAGGATATGATTAGGGCTCCAGAGGTGAAGCCCATCATTAAGGCTCCGGAGGCGGTGCTCACAACTAGGGCTCCGGAGTACGACAAAGAAGGACATAAAACATTGAACTCAACAGTAGAGAATGTTGTGTGGTGCTAGTCAATATGTTTCAATAGGCTGTGATGTGTTCATGGAAATTGGAATACGTCATGTAATATAACTGGTACAGTCCCCTACCTAGCCTACCCTGACCTACAGCAGGACGCAGGGGCCTGCATCATCCCTTTCCGTTCCCCTGCAGGACCGGGATCTCCCTAAGCGGCACTAATTAATGCCACTGAGGACTCACGTCCGGCATACCCATGTTGCGTGGTGAATTTTAGTTCGAAGTATCCATCAACGCGGGTTATTGCGTACAATACTTTTCTATCTGTTCTTATTATGTTGTTACTTTAATGTTGAGGCCAGGTGAGAAGTACAGAGCAAGGTCGTGTTGTGGTAGTGGTGGAGGGTCGAGTGACAGCCATGGAGGTGAGGCAGCACAGGGTCCCGCCGCCACCAACACACACGCCCAGCCCCAGTAACTGCTGGCGATCCGTGGGACCTGTCGGGTGTCGCTCTCACCCGGCCCTCCACCCAATCTGCCTTTCCCACACACCAACATTCTCACCCGACTCACCACCAATCTTCTGTAGCATATTTTGCCATATAACCGCAGCTGTAACACCCGTCACATAGCTGGTGTAACGGAACGCAGCTGCACATACACGCACACAGAATCCTTCCAGGCAGCTGTGACTACAGTGGTCTTCAGAAGATCAACATTGGCAGGTGGTTGGAGAACTACAAGACCTACAACACACGTACACACATACACACGCACGCACGCACACACACACACACGCACACACACACACTCAGGGGCGGCAGCACCTTTGGGTTGCTGGTACCTGGGAGCGGCAGCAGGACCTCCCCTCTGCTATGCCCGCATCAACGCCTACCCCAGCGCACCACCTCACTGGGCTCAGCTTTGCACCACTCCACCAGGCAGGCACTCCCGGCACCCCCCTCCTGTACCAATGAACTTTAGTATTTCACTGGTGCTACGGTGAAGACGTATGCCTCAGAGCAGCGCGGGGAAGGCACTCATATACGTCATAGCTCGCAACTTTCACTTAGCGACGGACAACACCAGTGATGACACAAACTGAGTGGCCCATTGTGGCGAGGCTGGCAGACGTCAAGTGAAGAAAAGGGCATTAATAGTACGTGATGAACTGAGCACAAAGCTTCCCTGAGAGTGCGTCGTCCAGTGACCTAAAAGAGAGTGTTTAGTGTCTTGGATAAAGTGACAAAGAAGATAATCACATGTTTGACAATTGACCAACACTAGTGTGAGTATTAGCTACCAACCCGTCAGCACAGCACCACCCCACGAACCCCTCACCCACCCCTACCACACACTCCTCACCCCTCCCCAACCACGCACCATAACAGGCGGCCATTCAGTGCTAGTTGTGGATAATGATATTACTGTAGTCGGAGTGTGTGTGTGTGTGTGTGATATATGGAGAGATACAGTCAGCCTTCACGGCCCAGTAACTATTGCGAAGCCAACCAACGTCTAATAACCCGGATTCTCCTCATCCCGCCTG